GTAAAAGTAGGGGTAAAATTTTTAAAATTTTAAGTAAATCGGTTTTTGTAGTTTTGACTTTCTTGTTTAATTACGTTTTTTCACATTAAAACTTTCTGTATTACTATAGCTAGCTAGGTTACATATATATCAATCCCTACTTCTCTTTGTAAATTGTAAAATCTTTATTATATTTGTTTGTTTCCTTTTTATTAACTATATTTTTGTGCACCAGCAATACGAAGCGTGGGGTGCAAGTATACCCAATTCAATTTTATTACTCATCAGGATCTCTACCAACCTACCCTCAAATCTATTCATATGCCCAAAGTAGAAATAGTCTATTTTGTGTGTGTATAGAGACACACACACACACACGCTAGTATTCTTTTTGGTACAAGAAAGTAATAAGGTTCGTAATTTTTTTTGTGCACGCTTCTCTGGAAAAGTCAGTTACTTAGGTGAAATATGTTGAAATAGTGAAATTTTGATTCACTCCATAAATTCATATGTAGCAATTTAGGTGGCTTTATAAGAACAATAAGCTTTAGTTTTACTTATCAAATACTGTGAAATAGTCCCTTGTCAATATTCAGACATTTTAAAGATGGTTTTAAATGGACAAATTGTATGGTTGCCATTTTGTTTCATCATTATCCCTACTATTAAGTACTAACATACTTTCATAAAATGTCAGAGAGAAATATTGGGCATGGAAAGTGAGTCTGATTATCTAGTTTATGGCTCCATAAACAAATGATATTGAAGGCTATAAAAATTAGATTTTGTCTTAGTAATATCTATGTTATAATGAGTAATTTATGTTACATTCCATACTTCAGAGAGGGGTGGTAAATTAAGAGAAGAGGGAAGGTCTAGAGAAGAAATGTAACCATTCCCATGTTAGGGAAGATTGAGGTTTTTTTTATATTACTTATAAAATTAAGAACTTTAAACTTCTATCAGATATTAACTACGTTTTGATGCCAAGTTTACTTTCTTACATTGATAATAACATAATTTAATTAAAATTTTAATGTAACTGTCTAAAAGTTGTGACATGCACACTTTGACCTACACATCGCAAGAGGGTTAATATCATTCTTGTTTCTTCATACTATGTAGAAATATTTTTCATTTACTATAGATTTTGCTCATAAGAGATTTTTTTCTCATGTGAACTGAAAACTTTGCCATGGTCACATGATAAGTACAGTTAAGGTTTGATAGGCATTTGGAATAATTTATGAGAATGCTTTGGTTTGTGCTTTAAAGTAAATTTTGAATATGTTGTTTGCATTTTCTTTTACACCAGACATGGAGTTATATCAAAACTTAAAAGTAGTACTAGACGTACTTGTGTAGGGTCCCCAAAAGTATTCTGTTTCACAAGTAAATAAAACCAAAATTAAGAGTAGCAAATATTTTTATTTCTTACTTTTGAAATTAATATGTCATATTGTGTTGTAGCCTACAGAGTGCATAATTCTTCTCGTGATTCTTGGCACTAGCAAGTTTTACTGACATCACAACAGTACAAATTGCAATGTTAAGGGTCCCTTACCTGACATCATTTTAGTGTCTACTGACTAACTGACAGACAACATACTACTGTATGTGGTGTGAGTGGCTAAAACAGGTGACCTGTCCAGGAGGCTTTCAACCCTCTCTTAGGGAGATAATGGGGTGTTTGTTAGGTTTTGGTAGAGTGTTTAGTAGAATTGTAAATATATATATATATATATATATATATATTGAATAGTACACCTAATGTGTGGAAGTATCATCTAGCATC